GTGTATAAATTACGACATGAACTGCATGTGTGCATTTTTAAAAACTCGCAAAATACAATAAATCAGCAAAAACTAGGACTGGGCAATAAGGATTTAGAAATTTAATGTGATATTTGAAAAGCATTCACATTTGAAATGGGCTTCTTTATCTAAGTGGGATTGAAACTGCACATATTAACTGCATTTCATCAAATTTTCAAATATCGTGATATTTATTGATCCTCTTACGGAGCCAACCGTGGAGAAAATAGTAAAATTAACATTTCTGATAACATTGTCAAGGGGTTTATTTAACGCTAATTCATAGAGAAAACGATAAATCGAAATTCTTACAGGAAATTTTTCACGATAAATGATAAACAATACAATAAATGCCCTCCACAAGCAAGAGTTACTTCGCGAACAAATTACTTCATTTTGACCTGCTGAAGTGAATTTAGAAATAATTGTTAAGCAGGAAATGCCACAACACTAGTTTATAAAAACTATGACACCCATAATAACCAATATGTTTAATTACTTTACCGTAAGTTTCTGTTTTCAAATAAAATAACCAGGCGCCCCGTTGTCAGCTTGGGATCTTATTCCTTATTACGCTCTTGTTATAAAGAAACCTGTTGTGTATCTGGAGGTTAAACGATCCGTAGGACAAATGCAGCTCCTTCTTTTTTCAGTGCCAGCTGTGTCTCTAACACGGTTTGACAGAATATTTTCTCCTTGTGACTTCAAAGAAAAGGTGAAGGAAACTGTGCTCAACGTGTGTGAGGTACTCATCTTGAAACTCCTTAGAGATGCTCTCAATCAGCACAAAAGCTGCCAATTTACTTCAGTTTCTTTAAAGTGCAAACAAAATGTTTTAATGATTACCCAGGAGAGTCGAGACGGTTAAATTCGGTCAAAGTCTTGTTGATTAGAGTGTAGCCACCCTTAAAAAAAGGGGAGGGGTGGTGGGAAAATTTGCCTGAAAAAGCGAGGCATTCGTCTACTGTCTGTGTTATGATAACAAATCCCAATGCGTGTTGGAGGGACGGGCAGCGGCAGCGAGAGCCGGCGAGTGAAAGAATGTGTAAAAATGACAGAAATGGATTTCCTCCCGAGCCTGTCACGTAGTGAGTGACAGCCAGCGTGCTGCTGCTGTTCGTTTCCCATGCGTCTGTGGCAAGTTAACACAGCGGTGTCATCTCCACGCCTACGTGTGACCGACTCCGCAATCCGTCTTCTTCGCTGCATCCGTCTAGCTCTCAGCGTGCTGGCAGGAGCGTCTGACTGCTGAGAGGTTTTCAATGTCCAGAGGCAGCGATTTAAAAACAAACACACACACACACAAAAAAAAAAAACTGAGTGTCTTTTGAAGAGTAAATATTTGGGATTGGAGAACTATGCCTAACGGATATGAGAGCTGAAACAAGAGACAGAGAGAGGATTGAAACTGATTTTTGAACTGGCATCAGTCATTGTGCGTGTCACAGCAAAGCCCTCTGGGAGTTTGCATGCTGGTCGGACTCTGCTGCCAAGCGTTCCTTCTCAACTTGTCACACTGATGTCTGCAGGTAGATTTCTTTCTTTCTTTTATTTTGTCTTCCTCCATCAAAAGGAAATAAAAGAAAAAGTTTCTTGCAGAACTATTCACACACCTTAAACTTTTTAACATTTGCTGATGTCACAACCACAAAACGTCCGCATGCTTCACGAGGAGTTTGTGATCACAAAGTGGAATACATGCCACGAAAGTTAAGACCATCGATAATTTGTTTTAAAGAACTTAAGATATTTCAAGGTCAATTTTCTTTAGATACATAAAATTAAGACTTTTTATGGATGCGCGGACGCCCTTTTTAGGGTCGTTGTCGTTTAGTCTGGTTTTAATTTCGGTCTCGTCCGACTAGGGCGCCTTCTTCCACACTTTAACTTTACAGAACAGCTATGTTTATATGTTGAGAACACAGTTTAACACTAAAGTCACTTCTCAAGGAAACTGATTTCTCCGGATTTTAATCAGGGGCACCAGAGTAAAGGAGGCTAAATACAAATGTCTGGCACACTTTTTAGATTTTTTTGTTAGAAAAAAAACCTAAAGCACATATTTTTCTGCATTCTGCTTCTCTGTTCTTGTTTCTTGCAGCAGGAGCATAACAAAATGTCTGTATGTGTCATGAAGTTAACCACCTAAAAGGTCACGACCCCTTGACATAAACTGTGAAAGAAGAGCTCAACATAAACATTGTCGTTTGTTACAAAAAGATTTACAGAAAATTGGGAAATCAAGCTCCAACTTAACACCTATTTGTGTCATTTAAACAGTTTTTAAAAATCCTTAGAAGTAAAATTCAAAGTCAGAACACAACTTCCTCTCAGAGCTTTTTTCTTTTCTTTTTTTTTTGCGCCCATGGTTTCCTTGTTAATCCCGCTGGACCATGAAATAGAAACAGATTCAACCTGTCAGGTGTGATTGCTAATGAAAAGATTAAAACATTACACAGGTCTTTTTTAATGGAAGAGGAATAAATAAATAAAAAAAGAAAGAAAGCAGAAAAAGGGAAGTGAGAGAGCCTGAATCAGGAGAAATCTGTGCAGGATGACAGAACGCCCCGGAGCGAAGCTGGAAGAGTTTGAAACTCAGGTGCTTATTTTAAATAAGTTCTGATTCTAGTTCAGACAAGAGGACGGGTGTGTGGAAGGGGGAAGGAAGGGGTCTGGGTATGAGGAGAGAAGGGGAAAAAACGAAGGGGGGATGAGGGGATGATCTTCTGTGACTGAATGGAACTTTTCACGGGCACGTCTCTGCAGGCGGAGGCCGCCTCATGGGTCCCGTTCTCCGGGCAAACTGCTCCACGCCCAGCGGAGAGGAAAACTCCACTGAACGTATCAAATATAATCAATCATTATTTGATTTGTGCGAATAAAGTGCACGTGCTTTCTCCACAAGTAACCGACTGTCCTAACATTAAAGTTGTCAGCGTTCATTGACAGCGTCTCTCAGCTACTCCCCGTTACATAAATTAAACTAAAACATATATTAACGTTTAATTGCATCAGTGAAACTCACCACAGCGCTAAGCGGTTCTTCGGGTAGTTCAGCCGCTCGACGGCTCCGAGGAACAGCGGCAGAGAGTGGGCCGAGTTGCGGCAGACCAGCGCGATGACGACCCTGGGAGCCAGGAGCGGCGACTCGGGGCTCCAGCGCTCCTCCGGGAAATAACCCCAGCCCGAGCCCGGCAACAGAACGAACAGCAGGGCAAGCAGCAGCGAGGTAACCCGGAGCATGGCAGGGAGGGGAGAGAGAGGGAAAAAAAGACGTAGCTGACGCGGCAGAAAGTGGTAGCCAGAGAGGGGGAGACAGGGGATGCAGAAGCAGAGGAAGCCGTTGTCTATGCCGACATGGCGGAGGGTCTGGATTTAAAGGGGAAGGACAGGGCCGCGTCAAGGAGAACTCACTGTCACTTTAATACCATTGTAATATATTATATAATCCACCGTGTTCACGGGTTATAGTGAAAAACATTAATAATAACATTCAAATTCAGAAACTCTTACGACGGAAACCCCCCTACGTAAATTAACAACAAAAAAAAATTATTTATAATTTCCATCTCGAGCGCCTCAGTTCTTCTTTCCCTTTAAGAACAAACCCAGCACCAAAACTCAGGAAGCAGACGGATCTGAAAACCAGAATGTTCTGTTCTGGGGAACGCTTTGAAAAACCTTTGGGGGGAACGTTCTTTTTTCGCCCCATTTTACCCAAAAGTTTAACCTTTGAATAAATAAAAATGCTGCCAATGCCAATTATAGCTTTAATAAGTTGCAAAAGGTTTGTTTTTAGTAGGGGGTGGGGGGAAGAGAGACATCCTTCAAAATATCATAAAACAAACATACTTCAAGTAAAGAATAATACTCTTTTTGTCTTTATCTATATTTCATTTTTAAAAAGATAAGTAATTTTCCTCCTCCCAATAATCTATGGGAAAATCTTAATTTGCATTACAGCAATAAAAAAAAACCCAACAGCATTATTTTGACATATGAGAGTTTAAGAGAGACCATGATGCTTGCAGCTGTGATTTGCATTGTGTTATATTTTTACTGCTTCCTGTTCTGCAGTTCCTCTCTGGCTCTGACCAACTCCGCTCCACGAAGCAGCACATGTTTCCCTGAGTTGTCCAATGTGTCCTCCCTGTCAGACAGAGAGCTGCAGAGTCTGACGAGGAGCCTTCACACTTGTAGCCTGGTGTGTGTTGGCACACTCTGTGGGGCAGCTCTTCATGGTACACCAGTTCAGAAATAAGATCAGAGCTGGAGCCGCTCGGCCAGTTGGTGCAGGCTGGAGAGGGATGAAGGTCTGTGGCAGGCAGTGTCTCGTCTCTGCAGCACAAAATAAAACAAACAAAACAAAACAAAAAAAAAACCACAGTGTGGAAGCCAAAAAGACCGGATAGTTACCAAATCATTTAAGAGTTTGTTCATCATTTCGCAAACTTTACCAGCACAGGTTTTTTTCTCAGGACGGAGTTAAACGGAAAGGCAAGATTTGACAAGTTGAATTCAATTAAAAAAAATCACACACAGACACAGAAAGCTCAAGAGCCAACTGGCTTAAAATGGAGCATACATTTCAAAAACACAAATCTTACCAAGTATATTTGTCTCCGTTTCTATTGCCATTATCTTAAGACATTTGAAATAACACAAAAATAACTGACAAGTAATATTTCAGTGTAGGAGCTTGTTTCAAGTCAATAATTATTGAATATTGATATAAAGTACTCGTTCCACTGGCAGATTTCTTCAATCCTATTTTTCCCATTTTAAAAATAAAAAAAATATCTGTCAGTGGAACTAGTACTTTTTCACCAATATTGAGGAATTATTTTAAAACAAGTTCCTACATCTTGTTGAAAATGTATCTGTCAGTTAGTTTTGTCTTATTTCAAGAGTACTAAGACATTTCCACTAAAAATAAGGCAAAAACACTTGGTAAGATCTTCTATTTTTTATAAAAACAGAAAACAGAAATGTGTTTTAACATTTAGATTTAACAAATAATTTCCAAAAAAAGTGAGAATACTTTAAATCTACTGTAAATTTGTAATTTCCTTTACACTAATCAGGTTAAAGACCATAAATACAAGCACAAATATCTCCAACCGGACACCCTTTAGGGACTTGTACCTCCATCATAATCTTTACAGATTAGGATGTAATCTGTAGAGATTATCAATGAGCTTTTGGTATAATTGTAGTTGGATACCGGACCTGTCTGCAGGCAGATTTGGTGAACTTCGACTTGGTTTCCTCCAGATCTTTTGCACACAGTTTACAAACTTCAGTAGGCTTGATGTCGGAAGCCATTCCTGAAGATTAATGCTAGCCTGACTTCAAAGTCTCTTCTTAATAACGGTTTCCATCTTTCTCCGGCTGGAAAGCCAGGCGTTTCATCCGTCTGACTCAGACTATGTTCCTTTGGATGAAAGAATGTTGGATTGAAAGGTCACCATGCAGCTTTCTTCCTGTGTTTAACCAGATCCAGGACTAGAGCCAGCAGGTAGCTGGTTCTGTCTAAAGACCCAATTTGGTAGAAAGGGGGAGTTAAAAAAAAAAAAAAAAACATCCACTCAAGCACGACATGACCTGGAGGACGCTGAAACGCCAGCGTCAGTTTCCAGAGTAAGGTGAGACGAAGAAAGAAGTCTCTTCTTCAAACTGTAAACTTTCAAGCTTTGCTGAAATGTCTTATGATCAGACAAGGCAAAAATTGAAAACGTTTTGAAGAGTCAAAGTAAGATGTTCAATCAAAAAAAGTTGCATGACAATTGACAAATGAGATGAATATAAAATGTTTGGGAGCAGGGATGAGGGAACCGCCGCAGACCGGAGCTTTGATGTCGTGTTGGTAGTATGTTTGCCCAGCAGGTCTGTTCTTCACAAGAGCCGGTAGCCAGTCAGACACTCTGGGTTACTGTAAGGATGCTGTATGAAGACAGGAAACTCTGCAGGTAGGACAGTCCCAACAAGCCAGTCTGTCCTCTGGCTTACCTGAAACACACACATACAAAATCACCCCATGCGGTTAAAATAATAAATCTGTGCACATTTATCTGTCTTGAAGGCGCTCACCTGTAATGTGCTGACACATGTCACACACTAACGCACAATGCTCAGGTACGGAGGAGCAGACGTGGCAGCCAGGAAGGACGAACTCCGTCTTGCAGCTCCATCCACCTTTAAACAACCTGGTGTGCTCAAAGATGAAACGTTGAAGACACCGCATGAAGCTTCAGTGGAAGACCCAAATGCAGATCCAGTCTTTACCTCTCTGGCGTTACGGCTTCCCCACTGCAAAACCGCTGCAGACCTGCAGGTGGCAATATGACCAGATCCCATCCATCCATCGGGCTTCCTGAACCAGTGCCGTGGTTGAGTTTTATGTGCCGTAGGGATACGTTTCTGATTTGAGATACTCGGGAAGGACGTGACTCACGGCTTGCTGAGTGAGAGGGCGGGACTCAGAGGACTCTGTGTGTTTCCTCCTCAAATGTTTCAGCAGATGAGAGCAGTAACGATGCTTACAGAGAGGAGTCAGATTACCCAGGATGTCTGTAACACGCTCTGTTGAAAACCAGTGGGGGCAAAAATTCAGAACACAAAGAATCCGATTTGTTCAATTGGGTAGCGTGAAGTCAACGGAGACGAAAGTTGAAGTTTCCGAGATGAAAGTTTAGAACTTTAAATCATCTGCTTTGGTTTCGAGTCCGTTACCGCATAGTTTTCCTTCCCTCATTGACAAGTGGACAGTGAATAGCAGACTAATGAAGCATGGATTTTTCCTGCACGATTTTACAAAATACTAAACCTCTTGGAAAGCAAACTGAAGACAGACCAGCTTATTCCGCTTTATTTCAGTTTGAGTCGATGGGATGAAATGTGCTCAAAAAGTAAATTTAAAATAACTAGTTGACTTCAAAGGCATGACAGGACTCAGTGTTCCCCCACACGGCCTGAGGTTTCACACATTTTACAAGAAATATCTTCAAAATCAAATCAAAAAACGTATCCATTTCATCTACTCGCCATTTACTAAGTCAGATAGGGTATTATTATTATGATACATTTTCAAGGGTGGCTTTGTGGTCACTCACGTTAATTGAAATGTGTCTTTAAATATGCTTCGCATCTAAATAAAATCTGTTCTGATAAAAAAAAAAATTGTAGAAAATAAAAAGATGAAAGACGCCATTTTTGCCCCCAATCATTTACTGCATTTCACCTTAAACTGGTCAACGGTTGATGCATCCGAGCAAAGAAATATGAGCCACACGAAACTGATCTGCCTCATGAGTTCAGGATCTGAGCAGCTCAGAGTGTTAAAGGCCAACGAAACTGGATCCATACAGAGGAGTTACATGTCAAACAGCAGAACTTTACGACCAGCCGACCTCCGTGAAAAGTCATGGAAGAGGAGGACGCACTCTGAATCACAACAGCGAGAATTACAAGCAAACTTTTTCCATTTTCTCTTTGCTTAGTGAATAATTACACATCGAAATCTGTAGTGTGTGGTTTGTACAGTTAAAGTAACTTTACAACCTGGTGGAAAATAGATAACTCATATTCAGACCTGTTTATTTTTCTTTTACTACGACACAGACGCAGTTGGCAGGAAAAGGGACGAGCTAAGTCCTAATTAGGAATAAGAACACCTGTGAATCATAGCGTTAAAGAAGACAGATCTTCGCTGCTGGGTGATGCACGGCTTCATCTGGTCAGATGAGAAGACTGAAAGCAGATATTCTGTTATTCAGCCTCACTTCTGAACAGATGCATGCCAGCCGACCACCGTACAATCCCGACACCAGGACGCTTGAGTGCGCCTCCCATTTGCCATTCTCCAGTTCCCAGCTTCCCCCTGGCCGCTTCATTCTGACAAACTAAACTGTCTTCATATCTGTCAGAACTGCCATGAGTGACCAGGCTGCTTCTTTTTCTTCTTCTTCTTCTCTGCCCCTGCCCGGATCGAAGGCTGTTTTTCCCTCACCGCTTGCGTCTGCAGAATGTTGCGAGGAACACGACGAGTACCTGTCCTTGTTCTGTCTGGATGACTTGGAGCCCTTGTGTAAACACTGTGCAGCTGACAGCCACGCACGCCACAGGGTTTACCTTTCAGCGGAGGCCGTGACCGACTGCAAGGTAGGAATCTGGAATTTGGTGCCGCTTGTACATTTAACCTCGACCTTTGACACTTTAAGCTGCATGCTTACGAGAAAGCATTGTAAGTAAATCTTTTAGGAATAGAAACAAGGTGTTGACATGGAGTTGGAGGTTTAAATAGGAAGAAACATTTAAACATTCAGGCTTTACACCCTAATCAGGATGATACTAGCCTGGTAAAAACCAGATCCTTGTTCTAGGCTTTGCTTCATACAGCTGGTCTGTTGAGAAATTATTTCTTTCTGGAGGTGTGGACTGGGTTGAGGTGTTAAATTTTACCCAGTCTCTAACCTCTGTCCATGTGGTATGATGCTATGAAGCTTACCGGACCTTGCCTGTGCTGTAAACAGCCATCCTCCAATGCGAAGAGAGAAGTGCCGAGCCGAACGGAGACGGCTGCTAATGCTAACTAAATGTTTGAAAGTGTGGCCAAAACGGTCTGAGAAGCTTTGTTCACTTCCTCTGCTGTCATTGCTAAAACTACAGGCAAGCTACAATTGTAAAACAGCGTAGAAAATCGACATCATCGCTCATGACTTCTCCTTCTGTTCGCTAGAGAAATCCACTTCAATTGGAGAAAGCCCAGACGGAGCAGTGAAGTGAAATTAGAATCGAGCTGAACTGCATAATATGATACAGTTGCTTAGTTAACATGCAAATCAGAAAAATCAAAAACAGCAAAAAGAATGTCTCAAAAAAAAAAAAAAAAATATATATATATATATATATATATATATATATATATATACAACAGTAAACAAACGGATGCACACACCTGAATCAGTAAATGGCGTTAAAGTGGTCCGTGGTCCGTTTGTTGTGGTCTAAGGACGGAGTCATATCGTTTCTATCGCAACACGTGGGAATGATTTCCTGTGGCGTTCAGTTCTTCACTGAATGAGCTCATGTGATTGGCCAGCACAGTTACAGAATGTTTAAAACAGTGGCGGTTCTCACTTGACTCAGGCCCTGGGCGAGTCCGTCCCTCTGCTCCCCCCCTCCAATTTATAACATTAAAAAAAGAAAACATGACTCTGATTGTGGACATGAGGAAGTTTAGATGACAAGTTATTTCCATGCTGATTCATTGCATGTTCTTGTGTCCTTGTTGACGCCTAACTTTACTGTTAATTGACACTTATACCCCAGGAAAACAAAAAGTAAATTGTTATTAATGAAAGTTTACTAGAAAATGTTTGTTTTTGTTTTTTGCTTTTTTCTTGGCTGCTGAAATAAAAGACGAGTTCATTTTATGTGCTTTTCTTCCCTCGACATGACTGGCACTGTATTTATTCTAGACTATGTTTTCAATGTCAATCTTTATCTTACACCTTTACTTCGACAATATCCCAAATGATAAAATAAAAAAAATTGTTAAATTAAAATGGAAACAGACCTTACCCCAGAAAGCAATAAAACAGATTACGAAGTGCTGAGAAACAGAGCAGCTGGCATGAATTGACTTTTCCCCTCATGGACACCAGCTCATCAGACGACTGCCAACCAGAATGTCTGAGCGCTGGTATCTCAAGTCACAGCAGCCATGATGCCAGAAAGCCAAACCAAACATTTGCAAAAGTCATCAAAGTGACAGAAGAATTGCCAGAAGCGCAGAGTCTTACATGATCTGTCTGTCCCCCCCCTGCGCCCCGTCTTGAGGCCCTCTCTGAGTGTTGTGTACTTTTTCCTCCGCCTGCTTCCTGCAGCCACATCCGGCAGATGTGTAAACAAGGAGGATTCTTTACAGGCCTCCATAAAATTTCTGGTGAATATGCATTTTCTCCTCCAAACAGATGCTGCCTTGTTTAAATTTAACGTGGCCCTGATTTACTAAGAGAGAATGTTCACAAATTATACTTGGCCGGTAATCTAAGTGGTCGTCTTTGCTAAAAATTTGGCTCCACAAGGATTTCATCACCAATTCATCACCATTTAATCTTTGAGCGTATCTCTGGGATCCACTATAAATAATCAGAATTGTTATTTTTAGATAATTTAGTGCTTAGATCAGTACCGAGACGCAACCAACAGCCGTGTAACTCTGATCTTATAACACTAATGAGTCATAAAGTTTATGAAGCACAACAGCTAATCTTTCTGTACGATTTGTCCACATTTGCTTGTCTGGAAAATGTTACGACCCTAAATTATCAATGAGTCCTATTAAAACCGAAAGGAGCTAATGCTAGCTTAGCATAGTGCAGTGTTTCTCAACCCTGGTTCTCACCGCCCCCCTGTCCTGCATGTTTTAGGTATTTCCCTTCTGCCACACACCTGAATTGTATCTCTCGGTGATTAACAGGCTTCTGCAGTATTTCATGGTCATGCAATCATTTGAATCAGCTGTTCTGGAATAGAGGCACATCAAAAACATGCAGAGCAGGGGGCTGTGAGGAGCAGGATTGAGAAACACTGGGTTAGTGTATTGTTGCTGTATGTGGTGAGCCAGGCAGTTCATTTCATGATCCAGCTAACTGTTGTCCAGGAAAATTATAATTCATTTCATAAGTCATACTTTATATGTGTAGCCTGGGAACACAGATATATGACTACATCTTTGGGATTTAAACTTCAGATATTAAGATGTTCACATATTAAGTTTAAAATATTTCAGATTTCAAATTTTAAGGGTCATAGTGTGACCCTTTAGGGTCATGTTTTGCTGTGATCTTCTGGTTTTGGCTGTGTGTGTGTGTGTGTGTGTGTGTATGTCAATCTTGAGGATAAAAACATAAAAGGCCTTTTGAGAAAAAAAAAGGAATATTCAAAACCAATTTTGAAGCAGCTCAGTAAAGTCAATCACCTTTTCATATTAGGTGGCTAGAATGTATTTTAACTTTAGATATCTGTATTTTTTTTGTCTCAGTTGCACTTGAAGTTCAGTATATGACCTCTTTTTGCTTTGTGTATGGAAAAAGAGTTTTTCTTTTGTCAACAAAGCTGATCAAGTTTTAGTTAGGTATTGTACATAATCTTTTCTAGAAATCAAATCTGCTTCATTGACCATGAAGCAGATTTGATTTAATCTGGTGGGAAATGTCTTATTTGTATAAAATTTATCATTTTTTGCTTTAAAATGTTGGATTTCTTTATAAAGTAATCAAATGCAAAGTCAGAAACTGCATTTTAATTATTTCCAAAACAAGTTAATCGTATGTATTCTATCCATAAAGCCTGGTTTTAAAGTTATTCTCCCTTCCAACACTAGGAGGAGCTTAAAACATCACTAACCGGATTAGACGTGAAGATTAAAAACTTCAAAGACGTAATGCAGGCCTGCAGAGCGGCATCCAAGTGCAACCAGGTGCATCTAACAGTAAAACAACAACAACATATTTCTTCACCTGTCTGCGTGTGTAAATAAACTCTACTTTTAAAATCTTTTTTAAGACTAATTTCCACCTCACAGAGGAGATCATGAAGGAAGAATTTGAGAAACTTCATCAGTTCTTGAGAGAGGAGGAAGCAGCCAGACTTCATGCGCTGATGGAGGAGGAGGAGGAGAAGAGCAGGAAGGCTGCAGAGAGGATAAACCGACTAAACGAGGTGATGACATCTCTGGAGGACAAGATCCGGCTCACTGAACGGGAGCTGCGTGCCGGGGGAGAAGGAACTGAATACTTACAGGTTACGTAATCAAATTGTGGTTTTGTTTTTTTTGGCGGTTAAAAAATTAACAAAAAAATAAATAGAAATAAATTTATCTCAAATCAATTATTTTTCACAGGAATACCAAGATACATTGAGTAGGTATGAGGATTTATCATATTTTGTTGATCCATATAAGCAGCAAAAAAAAAAAAAAACCACCACCATATGATTTTCCGTCCATGTTTACTCACTGCAGCACATGGTGCGGTAACGCCAAGCCGGAGAGGATTCACAGGCCTTTAATCAACGTGGCAAAACACTTAGGCAACCTCCGACACGCCGTTTGGGAGAAGATGAAACAAATCGCCCCCTATAGTTAGTGACCTCCCACGCATGCGCGTTCGTTCTCTCTACGGTCTGCTCCGCTTCCCCGCTTTTGATGTCAAATACCCGACGTCTTCCAGCTCCGGTGACCCTGGATCCCGGAGCAGCAGGCCGGGCTGCGGGGGCGTCGTCTTCAGAGCTGAGCCGGTTCCATGTCACCGCTGGACCCCGGCAGAGCGCAGAGCAGCTCATAAACGAGCCCGAACACCTCCACCCGCATCCCCGCATCCTGGCAAGAGAGGGCTTTGACACCGGGGTGCACTGCTGGGACGTGGAGGTATCTACATGCTGCAACCTAACCCGAGTGAAGCTGAGTGATTCTTCAGTTCAGACAAACCTGGTGCTAAACGTTTGCGCAGCAAAAATGTTCGTTTGTGCAGCTGTCATTTTAAAGATGTTAAGAAATGTTACCCAGAGGTCATGAAAGGTCAACCAGCCCCTCCCCCCTCTTCCTTCTTCCAATCAGATAAATCTGGTGTCAATCGACTCGCCTGCGTTTGTGCTGCTTTGGCTTTGAAGATATGAATGAAATTTTACAGGTCACTTTGGCTGGTTGACCTCTTAACCTTTCAACTTTCACTAATGTCTTCAAAGCCAAAGCAGCACAAACGCAGTCGAGGCAATTGACACCAAATTTGGCTGGTTTGAGGAAAGTGGGTGGGGCTGGTTGACCTCTCACGACCTCTGGAAACTTTTCTTAATATCTTTAAAATTACAGCGGCACAAACGTTTGACACAAGTTTTGTCTGATTTGAAGAAAGTTGGGGGGAGGCCAGCTTCACTCAGGTATGTATAAGCTCACATTTCCACTGCGAGGCATGTGGTCACCTTCCTAAAATAATGCCGTAAAAGCATTTGCTAAAAAGTAAAAAAAAAAAAAAAACACTTTTGGCAAAAAATGACTTGGGCGATAAGGTTATGAAGGTGACAATGTGTGTTTTTGTACAGTTGTGTTGTATGTTTACATTTTTAAACAGCTTCTAAATAATCAGTAGCTTTTAAAAGCTTTCCTTTTGACATTGGATGATGTTTCACTCTTTATCTGTTCACTTCTTCCACCAAAACCAAATATTGTGCAGCATGCTTAAAGACAGAAAATGCAAACCCTGAGAAGGTATCCGCAGCAAATTAACAGCATTTAAATATCATGTCTTTGAAAAATCACACAGATATCCAGCAAAGACCCGACATGAGAGGTGCATCATCATCTTTTTTTTTTTCCCCAAGAGAATCTCTCTTAATGATGAGATTGTTTCTCTGATTGCCCCAAGGTCCAGGGGAATAAAATGAATGGACATAAAAGCTACATCAGAAAATGAAGAGATTAAACAAAAAAGCATAGATAATACAATATGAAACCAGGAAAGAGGAGAACATTAAAACACGAGTAACGAAATGTCAAAAACGTTGGTAAAAATTAAAATCTGTCAGAATTAGACAGATTGAGCTGGCTTTGTGAGCTTTAAAGTTTTGACTAAACATGCTGTGTTTTTACACGCACCGTTCAGCAGAAAGGAGAGTCGGTGCTGAATAGATTCGTGGGAGTTCTGGAAAAGTTGTTTTTGTAGGAACATAATTGATCTGTAACATCTGCCCTGATGGGAGGAGCTGGGACAGGTTTTATCTTGTTTTAGAAAAACCCCTTTGATAATATTTTCCCCCGCACATCCTGTGTCGCTGGTCACCTCGTGGTAACTCCATTCTGATCATTTCCTTTTCCTGATTTCCATCACAGGCTGGAGAAGCTTTGCAGAAACTTTGGTTCAGCTGGAATATGAAGCCACCAGGCTGTTTGTCAGGAGGACGTCTATAGAAACAGATTCTGAGGGAGGTTAGCTAGTTTAAAAACTTAAACTATGTGTTTTGTAGACATAAATATAATTTGCCAGCACGGAAGAGGCGGATACGCAACTGTGACTCTCAAAATACAACACTCCACTGCTCCTGTTTTGACATATGCTGAAGTGAGATAGGACTTCCTTGCGGTCCTAAGATCTCCATTTGGTGTTCAAAAGCAGGATAAACATTTCACTGCCAGGTTCTGAATCAAACTGTTACGTGAAATTTTGCAAACAAGGCTTTATTTGAGGGTTTTGATGGGAAAACAGCCATGGTTGCAAAGAGCAGGCGGGTCAACCCTGCGGCACTCCTGGCACATTTTACCAACAGAGAAAGTCCAGAAAATAGACTTGGTACCAATAAGTGACGTGTTAACCAGGAGGACATTTAGACAATCTCACGTGCAGCAAGAAATAACGATTCTTTCTGAACTTTTAGGCTAAAGGTTCATCTTTCGTCTCTCAGGTTGGGGAGACCAACAGATGGACAGTGGGTGTAGCCGCTCAGTCAGCGCTGAAAACCGTCACATGTGAAGCATCTCCAGAAGCCGGACTCTGGTGCATCAGGCTCAAGGACGGAGAGTACCAAGCTCTCACGACTCCCACTCAAACCCTCGACGTCGGCACCTCACGCCGCCTCAACAGAGTCCGAGTAAAGTTGGACCTCGAAGGAGGGGCGGTGACGTTCGTAGATGCTGACACGGACGCGCCTCTTTTTACCTTCACGCATTGTTTCGCAGAAGCAGTCTATCCTTACTTTGAGGCGTCGTCTGCAGGTGGAGGCGTTGCAGTGCGGGAGCAGAGAGTGAAGATCAGCTTGGAGTCGGAGGATCGGCCCGCAAAGGGCAACTCTCCCACAGAGAACGGTACTACAGCAGAGATAGCGAGAGAAACGGACGCCGAGAAGAAGTCGGCCGAATTATGTTGTGCGAAAAAGGAGGAATCAGGAAAACCTGAAAGAAAGGAGAAGACACCAAACGCCAGACATGTTAAGAAGCAGAGCAGAAAGAGCAGGTTTAACGTGAGCTACCATGTTTCACTGAACAAAGCCCTGAGTGATGCCAACTAGTTTAACAATAACCTGTTCTTATTAATAATGGAGAACCAAATCGCAGTTTTATACTCTTAGACCTAGTTTTATCAGAACAAGAATCCAGAGAATCCCTACTAGTTTATAAATGTGGAGTACTTTTTTTTCTTTTATTTTGTTTGTATTTCCTCTAATTCATGTGAAGCACTTTGAATTGTCTTGCTGCTGAAAATGTGCTGTAGAAATAAAAATCGCCTTACCATCACTCACCGTGGAAACCTCAAATAAATCTAAGTGCAAACAGTGATAAAAGAAGAGAGACAAATGTGATAAAAAATAAGATCAGGTGCAATATTTTACATTGTGCAAATATAATTAGTTTCTTTGTTCTGGAGTAAAACTACCAAATGAAATGTAGGTTGATCTAGAGATCTTTAGTTGATGCATTTTAAGATCGGTGTGTAAGAAGTTTCTCAAACATTTTATATACATTTATTTGAAAAATCAACAAGGTTTCCATCGCACAATGGAGTTTTCTTAAAATAGTAATAAAATATACAGCCGACTCTATGGGTGCCCTCTTGTCTCAGAGAGAAACTTTGCCCTCAACGATCGCTTTACACAATTCATCATCAACGGCCTCGTAGCGTCCGGCCCGGCTGTTCAGAAAATAGATCTCCTCCCCCGTGTGTTGTGGCTTAAAGCTTTCCTTCTGCAGGCGTGTTTTTTGAATTTTAAATGTACCTGAGAGGGAAAAATAGAGGAAAGAGTTTGTATTTCAGCTCTTTTCGAAACATGTGTGAGTCCTTGAATTGCCGCCTCACCTGTAGTGTCCACAGATGGCATGAGTCGCAGGAAGACGGGTCGCGCGTAGGAGGGAAGGTGTTTTTGTACGGCACTCAGAAACTCATCAAGGTCCAAACCGGCTCCCGTGTGAGCGATGGCTGCCATGCCGGCTTTGCCCTCCACGCCTGCACAAACGCAGGAGGCTCTTGAGTTTTCAGGTTTGGCTTCGTTTGTAGGTGTCGTGTGTGTGTGTGTGTGTGTGTGTGTGTGTGTGTGTGTGTTTTCCCCGTCTCATCGGTACCTGGAACAGACACTCCGTAGACGGCTACGTCGGTGTGTCCCAGCAGCCCGCTGAGGACCCCCTCCACCTCTGTGGTGGAAACGTTCTCCCCCTTCCAGCGGAACGTGTCCCCGCTGCGGTCCCTGAAGTACATGTAGCCGTATTCATCCATCACCAGCACGTCGCCTGGTGGACACAAAACGCAAAGATGGAAAAGAAGGAATCAGGAATTTCATCCGTGAAGTAGAAATCGAAGATAATTATCCTTCTGAAATAACAGAGTAAAAGTGGCTGGATCGATCCAAAAATACCGATAATATCGATACCAAGTTGGTATCGGTATCGGATCGATACTTTAGATTTGGATTCTATCTTTTTATTTTATTTTTGTATCAGTGTCTCAGCTCTTCCTCAAAAAAGATTTTGTTTTGCTTTGCTCTCAAATGATATTTTTTTCCCCCCACTTTATTTAGGAAAAATGTACACAAATCATGTTATTAAAGTATTTATTAGATATCTATAAACTTTGTCCAGATTCTGTCCAAGGTTTGAACAAAAATAATTCAAAGGTTGAATAAAAAGCATCATTGTCAGTATTGGTATCATGCATACGGACCCTGTATTTGGTTGGTATTGGATCGATGCTAAAGTACCTCTGTTACGGAGACTTCCACGTCCTGTTCGTGCCTCTAGTGTCAGAATTCATATTTTATTGTCAGACGCAACGATTTAGAAAACCCCAACGTTTGATTGTAGTACATTCAGTCTGATATAATGATAGCAGGGGATGTTGGCATTTGTTCAGCTTTGCTGCAGACTCCAGCTGGAACCCTGTGTTTTGTTTTGGTTAGCCGAGTCTAAAAATAGGCTTTTTCAGCTACAAACACCACAGGTGGGTTTGGACGTGGACCAATGGATGAGATTTGGAAAAGCACATCATGTCCATGAGTAAGTACAGGGAAGGTTTTGTGATGCTGGTTTTATTTTTATTTTTTTATATTTATTCCAAAACCCTGGGGAACCTTACTGGAGGTGAATGGTTCATGATTGGATCGTTCACTACAATAATAAGCCAATCGGAAAACTGTGACAAGACGGCGCCAAGAAGTAGAATTAAACACCAAGATATTTCTAAATTGTTCAGTGCCAGATTATGTTTCTGTTGTATTTTTTTTTCTCTTTTCAAGCTGGCACTGCAGAGCCACTTGCAACAAACTATAAGCTTTCATTTTTTTGTTAGAAGGTTATCCAAGTCTTAGGAGGGGAAAAAAAACACCATTAGAGAATCTATTATTAAACATGTCCCGTTCTTCCAGTCACGGGGAGCTGAAGCCCGCCCTATCTTGAGCTGACCAGCAATCGGAGAACACAGATGAATTGTCCTTGTGTCATTTTTACACCTCTGCGCGTGTCGCTGCAACGTCTCCTCCAGCTTCCTTATACTGAGAGCCTTTGTTTGGAGACGGCAAGGCTAGAAACCAGACCCCAGACGTGACATCATTATTATTCAGAGACCGACACGCGGACCGCGTGCAACATGCCTGAGACGTAAGCGGAGTCTCCCATCTGGAACACATGGTGAGCTATTTTCTGACTGGTCGAGTCCCGATCAGCGTAGCCGTCGAACCGCCTGAGCGGATCCTTGTCGCTGATGCGGCCCACTAGCATACCCGGCTCCCCTGCAGAGGCAAAGGCAGATGTGAGGTTTGGGAACCTGTTTGATACCTTTTTCTTTTCTTTTTTTTTAGTTTAAGTGTGTGTGTTGTGTTACCAGGCAGACAAGGTATGCAGAGTCCCTGCGAATCCCTGAGCAGCTCCTTCTCGCCCTCTTTCACCTTGACCAGGCGGATGGGGTAAAGGTTGGGCAGGATCCGGCTACTGAAACCACAAGCTCCCACCTGGATGGGTGAGACAGGACGCGTCTGAAATCCTTGAGCTCAGCAAGTGTTGGGTTAATCTTAGTCTAAACAGAAGAGTAGATAGTTTAACTTGTTGGGGAAATAAAGGCAGTAAGTAGGACGCAGACGTTATTCGGACTGTAACGCGATTCTTTTGACAGCCGTGTCTCCACCGCAAACGTAAACAATAAAGGCTGATTCTGATTCAAGAAGTGACAAGGTGGACGTTAAACAAAACTAACTTACTAAAATGAGGGTCTAAAAACAAAAGTTGGGTTTGGGCCTTTAGTTAAAGTTAATAGTCTGGTTGGATCTAAACTCTCAGCACACCTTTCCATCTATGTTGATCAGGCTGCAGTTGCACTCTGTCGCGCCGTAGAACTCGCCCACTCTTTGGATCCTGAACCTCCGGACGAACTCCTCCCACACAAAGGGACGAAGGCCGTTGCCGATGGCAACTCTGACCCGGTGATGAGCTTCGGACGGGCGGACAGGCTGAGCCAACAGGTAGCGACAGATCTCGCCGATGTACTGGATTACCTGGGTTTTTGACGCACAACCAGGGACAAGTCACATGGCAGATTTGGCCGAGTCGTTTACAGATGCGCCTGAAGGAAATCGATCGTCCGGCTTGCGGCGGGGGCGTGAACTCACGGTGCAGTTGTGTTTAACGCAGTCGTCCCAGAAGCGACTGGCTGAGAACTTCCTCCGGATTACGACTGTCAAGCCAAAGAGCAAACATTGTCCCACGCCCATGATGGTCCCTGTGCAAACAAACAACACATACAGCAAAAACAACCGAAGAGCCAAACCCAAGAGATTCTTTTCAGATACTTTAGAAACAGATGAAAGCAGCTTTTTTTTTTTTTTTCCTTTCTCACACTTAAATGTTTCAGATCATCAAAAACATGTAATTCTTGTCACAAACCACAGATGTTGTTAGAAAGATGTTGAAAAACTGCTTTATTCCTTTGCGTGCATTTTGTGATTTTAATATATTCCTTTGGAGGAACGAGAGTGAAAAGATCAAAATTGAGACGTTCAGCTTGTTGTGAAAAAGTGGGATAAGGGCAAAAAAAAAAAAAATTTGATTTGTGTAGCATTCGCCTGCTGCGTGCACTTAGCGTTAGTTTTGCTCCTTGAGTGTTAATTAGCTTCTCTCCCTCCGTTTCCCTGTTTTCCCTCTTGCTGCAGCTGCTCCCCATCTTCTCTGATTAGTTCATCTGGTCTTGAATTTCTGCCTCAGCAGTTAAGCTCCTGGTTTTTCACTGTTTCCTTGCTGGATTCCTACATTTCACTGCCTGCATTCCCCCTGTAATGTCACTGTTTACCTTATTGTTACAGGACTTCATTTAACAACAGCTTAGCTCTACACTCGAGTCCTTTCGAACCTCAAAAAAATGACATTATCCATAAATGGAGAAAACGGTGAACCTTTCCAGCAGTGAAGTGAGTTCATCAACTCATCCAAAAGGTCGTGAAACGGCCAAGGAAAACATCTGAAGCGCTGCACGTCTCAGTTTCCTCAGTTAATGTCAGTGTTCAAGATTTAGCAAACATAAACAGAACAGGGCAAAAATGGCAGCCGAGACCAAAAGGAACACAAAGTGTCGTCTCACGCTTGCCAAACATCATCTTCGTCATCCTCAAGACTTTTTTTGAAAAATATTTTATAGACCGAGACAAAAGCTGCCTTGGGGAGGAATATATTTTACACAACAGGCTGAGGTCCAGACAGATTTTTGTTCCTCTAATTAGTAAATGAAATAAGAAAGCTGTAATCAGGAAGATAATTTGAGTAACAAAAGGAGCGAAAGCCTGGACAGAATAAATCAGATATATGGCAGATTTTTTTTTAAAAAAAAGGGTGTGATAAATACAAATATGCATTGTTCAGTAAAAACGGGGCCTACCTGCAGAGTGATATAGAGGAAGGCAGTTGTAGACGACGTCATCGGGACGCAAGCCAAACGAATGAAAACCGAAGGCAGCGATGCGGAAATAGCTGCCAAGCCAAGTGGAAGAAGAGACAATCAGCATTTGTCAAGGTACGATGGCACACCGCAGAGGGTTTGATCGGATCTCAGTCAGAAAGCGTTCCCTCAGCATGACGGCGCCACTCCCTTGTTTCAACATGGGGATGGTGTTTTCAGGGTGATGCGTCGTGTTAGTTTTTCTCCTATTATGTTTTATTTTACATCTTGGCTTAAAAAAAAAAATAATAATTTGGTTTCATCTGAGCAGAAAACGTCTTCACGTGTTCGGTTCAGCTCCTAAAAGGCGCGTTGCAAATTGGAAATAGAAAATCTCATGGCTTCTGCCACACAGCTTCGTAGAAAATCTTCCACCTGAGCCGTGCAACTCTGCAGCTCCCTCAGAGTTACCACTGGTGAACTATTTGCTAACAGGAAACTGGTTTCCTTGTGTCATGCAGTCTTTTCATGAAAGACCTCCTGTGTGTTACACAATCTGATGTGGGTCAAAGGTCACCTGTACATTAACATTTTTGTCTGGCTTAGTCATATCAGCCGTTTCTAAATACATGACAAACATGAAGGCGACTGCTGTTCATGCTGGTTCATGCTGATTCATTTCCAGCAGAGCTTTGGTAAAATGTTATTGTTAAATATGAAGGCTTTTATTTTGTAGAGTATCTATAGGACTTATTTTGAAATGTCATCACTGCTGTCAGTTGAGGCTGGTTTAGTTGGGCAGGTTTCTACAATGGCTCTTAGAAATAATAAAGGTCCAACTAATGTTTTAAATATAGAAATAATAACAAATACAGGTTCTTTAGTGTTAATTCCTCTTTTCTCGTTGAATAATAGCACTGAATTCCACAACAGAAGATGATATTTAGATATGTATATGTACATACTTTTTTTCTGTAGGTTAAGATGGAAAGTAGGATAGATTTTTTTATTTTTTTACTTTTATGTTGTTGTTTTTTACTTATTACTTAAAAAAACAATAATTAAAAATTCCTACAGTAGATATTTACCTTTTTAATTATCTGCTCATGTAACACTTGTTACATGAAAATGATGAAAATGTCTCCCCGTACTGTAAAGGTTGCAGACTATTAGTCATATAGAACCTATTCATTATCCTAACCTATTGTCTTTTGTTGGTCATAAAAGAAAGGCTTTTGTTTTGAAAAGCTCAACGTGACCCCATCTGGTTGCATGGCAGTAGTAGAGCTAAGCCCAAATGCTTTCGAGTTGAAAAGCAGCAGAGAACTCAAACGGTATAAAACAAACAAACATGCATTTAGGAGTTAAACATCTTTGGCTGTTTTTGAGCAACACGTTGCCGTTCAACATTGTGCTAATTCATCAAACCGATCAAAATAAACTCACCGGCTGTGCACCACTACCGCTGCCTTCGGCATCCCGGTTGTTCCAGACGTGTAAATGTAGAAAAGTCTGTCTGCAAGCCAGAAGAAACCCAATGCGCAGAGACGTTAAAAAGCTTTCTAGTGATTTCGGTGTCTGTTGTCACGTTCAGCAGAGCTTTTACTTGTACGACACGCACCCAGATTCCCCCCCCCCCGCCCCTCCCTTTAGCACCAAACATGTTCCTTTCTCCCCTGACAGACCGAGCAAGCAAAGACATGAAGAATAACTCAGGAATGCGATACTACAACCACAAGACAGAAACAGAACTGATTAGTTGGGATGCTGCCAGTCTAGAGTGATTATTTAAATATAACTTTTAGTGACATTTAAAGAGTTACAACACCACGCAAGAGACCGACGGTGAGGTCTGCATGAGCGTTTTTGTGCTGTCTGCGTGTTAATACGGGTTGGATCGCAAGAGAAAGAGAGCGATCTGGCAGGCAAAGACCTGCTGAGAAAAATGTGGTGCAATCAAAGTATTTTAAAAAAAGAAAACATGAAATATAACTTTGCAGCCACGCGCATGCACACATTAAGCATTGGGGGTGGGGGGCTAAACAAGCTGCAGAGTGTTACCATTGAAGCCTTTCCTCAGCTTGTAATACGGCGGGTGTGTGGGCGAGCAGGTCAGCAGGGCTTCCAGACTCTGGGCCTGGAAGCTGCAGTGCCGCTCCCCATCCTCCTCCTCACCGCCGGTGCAGAACAGAGTCGTGCCGGGCTGCAGGGATCCTGACACCTCTGACACCGCTGAAAGAAAAACAGAGCGCGGTGCGCATAGGAATGCGGAGAGGGGCAACACTTTTCCTCAAGAGATTGTTCACAAAAAAAAAAAAGATTCATAGCTTGTATTTCGGATGAAATCTTCTGCATTCGGTTCGTTTTGATACGGGTGCGTCTCAGCGAAACGTTAATGTATTTTAATAACGTTATGGGTTAATTATGAACGGTGACATGTTGTGGTAATATTCGGTGATTTTGCCAAACAACTAGCCAAGAACAACAAGAGTAAACCCTGTGGATTTATTGCTCTGCGTGAGTCTAATGAGGATCATTTCAGAGCCAAATTAGCGAAATTAATGAAGTTTTTGATCATATTCTAATTTAATAAGATGTAGCCGTTAATCAGCATCTTCCAGCATTAAGCTCCCGTCCTGCTGAAAACGGATATCTGAGATGCTCTCTGTATGCAGACGGAAAACCTCCTTCCTTCATTAAATCAGACTGAGACGTTTCTATTTCAGGTTGGTTCAATTACCAAGATGATTCACGAAAGAACAAAGACTGCCAGAATATATTAGATATTTTTTTATTACCTTTTTTTTTCAAATAAAGAAGCTAATTTACACTTCTTAAGTATTTCCTAGAATTGCCTTTTAAACAATGTGATTGGGTCGCTTTAGTTTGCAGGAGTCTTTGATCGTTCCTCCTGACAGAACTGAGTGAAGTTTGCAGTCCGCCTTACTCATACACACACGCGCGCACACACACACACACACACACACACACACACACACACACACACACACACACACCTTTTCAGCTCTGCTCTCAGGTTATAGGAGAGAGATCAGAGCTTCTTGAAAACAGATGTTTCTTGTCTTTTAGGGACTTTGTAGCTCATTTTAAATGGGCGGACCCGTTTTAACTTAGTCTTTCTTCATGATATCATCCATGTCTTACGTGCTCCCTGCACCTTCTGCTGCATGTGGTGTCCCATGTAACATGATCCTGCCACCACCGTACCTTACTGTTGGGATGGTTACGCTTGTTTCTTTTAAATGCAGTGATGGTCACTCTGGCCAAACGTTTCAATTTCAATTAGTCAAAAAAAAAAAAAGGATGCGTCTCCAAACAAACAAACAAACAAACAAACAAACATAGGGTCTTTGTCCAATGAGTGCATTTGCAAACTGTAAGCTGGTTTTTGGAGTAAGGGATTCCTCCTCACTGTGTGGTCCGATAATGGACTCCTTCCACTCTAATGACACTCTGACCAGCTTTAGACAACGACTTCACAAAGTCTTTTTGCTTTTGTTTTAAGGTGGATTTGTATATTTTGCTCATTTTCATCTCTGGCTCATTGATTGCATTTGTTCGAACAAACATTTGTGGCACATTTAGGCATTTGGAAATTGTTCCCATGGCTTCATGGTTCACAGTTCACTTCCTGATACCTTGATTGCTTTTAATGTTTCCATTAAGCCACACAAAGGAGAAGTGTGTATGAAGTGTTGCCTCTACCAGGTTTGTGTCCTTTTCACTCAAAGTCTGTAAATGAATCAGTTAGAAAGCCTTAAAGTCATTCCCTGAGTTTTTGTTAGAAAAAGAAAAAAAAAAAACCTTTGTAATCTTGCAGTATTTAAACTTGTAACTCTGACAAAAGTAGTGCAAAAAAAATCTCTCTAAAATTGTTTTTACAATTTTGGCATTTAGCAAATAGAAAGAAACTGACCAAAAACAAAACATTTCATCTGATTCAGTGTCAGACAATGAGGGGGAAAAAAAAACGTCATTTTGTGCAGCGAATGTATCTTTATGTCGGGCGCGTGTCGCTTTGCCTCCCACCTTCAGTCATTTCTGCTCCAAACACCACGGCCCGAGCGCCAGATACTCCAACGCAGTGCAGCAGCGATTCCTGCCGCAGGTTGTGGTTGATGAACGCGGCCTCCACGCCCACCATGGCCAGCCCCAGCCACAGAGCAACCACCGACGGATGACTCTCCATGTACAAGGCCACCACATCCCCCTCAGCCCAGCCCTGAGCCAGAGCCAAGTGAGCCACGGCGTTGCATCGCTCCTGCAGATCTTTAAAACTCCAAACCTGGAGGAAATACAAATGCAAAAGTAAATAAGTTTCATTCAGATTTCTCTGGGGATTTTGCACCACTTTTGAAATGTCTTTATTTTCTTTTTTTTTCTCACCTCTCCCGTAGCCTCAAAGATCAAGGCGGGTTTGTCTGGATGCTGCAGCACCTTCTGAGCAAACAAGGCAGGGATGGTTCTTTTATTCTGCACATTTCTGTGCATGGAAAGTCTTACTTTCACAATAGCAGCCAGACACCTGTTGAAAAGAGGGGGAAAAAAATGGAGGGGATGACGGAAAATCAGGAAGAACAGGAGTTAAGACGTGCACAACAGAACACTTGCATACATCAGGTCTCTCTTGATGGTGCATGCAGCAACACGAATGTTCTTCCAGGACCCCATCCAGACCGCAAGGACGCCCAGCCCTGCAATCAGGCCGGGCAGCCAGGGGATGGAGACGGGCCTCAGGGGAGCCAAGAAGACCAAGCTCGCAAGGACACAAATCAGCAGCTTCATTGTCTGCAATAAGAAATAAAAACCCAAACAAAACAAAAACAAACAGGATTCAAAAAGAGCATGAGGGGAAAAATGGGTTTTAAGAAACAGAGAGAGAAGGAGACGATTTATTTACCTGTTCAGGGATTTTATAAAAGGCTCCACTGGGAAGGAGAATCCAGAAGTAATTAATGCACAGGGTGAGCAGCAGCAGCCGCTCAGAGCAGATGTTTCCAGAGCAGCTGTCAGTAATAAAGTGCCTGATAAGCAGCGCATAGCAGAGAGCAGAGCAGGTTGCAACTCATATCTCCAGCGTCACAGTGGGGTGTGTTCCTCATCTGCCCCGGAGCCAAAACCGAGCTGTATTTTTACGAGGAGCTTTTTTTTTTTCTTTTTTTTTTTCTTACTTTATGGGTCTTGTCAGAATAATGCCGGGGGTGCAATGATGGCTTCGAGAAAAAAAAAAAAAAAAAAAAAGCATGGGGTTTAAGAGTAACTTGCTAAGAAATATTGACTCAAATACTGCTGTATTTGAACCTGTATTTATGCTTTTGTCCTACTTTGGATTACAGTAATCCCTCGCTATAACGCGGTTCACCTTTCGTGGTCTCGCTGCTTCGCGGATTTTTTTGTGCAGTTTTTTTCCACAGTGCATTGTGCTCTGCGTCCTGATTGGCTCAACAGTCTCCGAGATCCTTCTCTACCTGTGTGCCAATAACGTTACGGTATTTAAATATAAGTAATACAGACTGGCCATTCAGGAGATGAAAGCTGAAAACTTTGAATGCCTGATGGAAAAAAACTGGCCAGAATCGGCGCAAATCCCGACCAGACTCGCTTGACGA